GCCTCCTCTCGGGTGAGCCCTTTGTTTTCCTTTTCTTTGGGTATGAAGCTCCAGGGCGCTGATGGGGCTTCCTTCAGAAAGAAAACCACCATTGAATGTAGTGAAACACCATTTTCTGTGTGACCCCCAAAGGCTCCCTGGCAACCCTCCCTCCCACTGGTTGGTGTTTTTTTTTCGCGTTTGTTGAAGCTTAGCTTCCGAACTGGAGTGCTTTGTAGCTGACGAGGTGACGTCCCGGGCCCCTCTCTCCTCCTCTCGGAGAGGGGAGGGCTGCGCGGATAAGCGGCGTGGCAGTAGTGTGTTACGTTTGCTTGTTTCCTTGGAATTGTAGGGATTTCTACCTCTGTTCGGTTTTTGTTGTTAGTTTCTTTCCATGTGGGGTTTGTTTTGTTATGCCTACCTTTCTGGGTGTCTAACCCCGGTCGATGACAGATAAGGAAAACCCCCAACCACAGGAAGGGGGGGTTCCAGGGCCATTGCTCCCTGCAACCTCTCTGAAGGGGCCAGGTTCTGGCTCATGGTCCCTGGTAGGTATGAACTCCATAGCTAATGTCCCGGTCTAATATAACATACATTAGCCCGATAAGCTCCATGAAGCTTCCGGGACTCGCCCAGAAACTGGAGTTTCATTACATTCAACGCTGGTTTTTTGGATATGTTACAAGGTTCCAGAGTCATTCTGGCTGGCAGTCAGTCCCTCATTTTTTAGTGGACTTTGTCTAGCTTTTGTCATTCCTGCATGTGTGAGTGGTGTGAGGTGTCGACCATGTTGCAGGTATTTCTTGGGGGACCTTTTTTTTGAGCCTCTCAATGACTGCCTGTTTGTGCCCCCCATGTTTTCTCGGGATATGGGTCTTGTGCAACTCCATTCCCAGGTTCTCCTGTTGTCAGCATAGCTCATGGTGGATGACCACTACACCAGTCTACATTTGAGTTTTGTCATGCGCTTCCTGGGCATCCTTGAGCTGCATACCGATTTTCTCACAGAGGATGTCGGGGCACTCAGTGGGAGCCTCTTGCAGAGTTCATGGCCTCTGGTGTGACGGCGTCAGCTCTGCTTCCCAACCTGTATGCTTCTATTCTCCGGGAGGTGGTGGCCACATTCTTTGCCACCCGACTCAGGTGTTGACAGGCTGTGTTGCCCCATTTTCTGTATTCGGTGTTGGCCCTTGCTCTTCTCTCCACCTCCCTTTTCTCTGCTCCTGTTTCCTGAGGATGTCACTCAATATTTGTTATCTGTGGTGACTGCTAAGATAACCATGGACCTCCTGTGTGTTGGGGTGGTTGTTCTCGGTCTCTGAGGCAGTTTGGTAGGGCTGGGGTGGTGCCTGTTGTTGGTCAGGGTAGGCTATTTATGGTGCCAGATGCTGAGTCACAAGCACTTTCCTCGGCTAAAACTTATTTGTCTGATCGGCACAGTGCATGCTCCTTTTCGAATTCGGGCTCATGGGGATTCGTGTTGGCCCTTTTGATGTGGCAGTTGGGGTGGCTAGCTCATTTTGCCAACACTTGGTCCCATGATTCTTTGTTTTTTTGGTTTGTTTCCTCGAGCCTGCAGTGAAGTTGGTCAGTCTGTCCTCAATACAGGGATTCAGGCTTTACAGGGCAGGCTTCCTTGCCATGACTATGTCAGGTCATTTTGGAGTGGGTGATTTTGGGTGTGGTCAAAATGACTGCATCTCCTTGTTGGATTTCCTCCTCCTTCCCAGTCCTGAAATGGGACTTGCTGGAGCTCCGGTTCATCCTTGGTCTTTCTAGGTTGAACCTGGTCATTCCTTTCTGGATGACTACTTTGCTCAAGATCTGTCTTGTGCAGAAGGCGGGTGCTTGGATGATTTCCTTGGACCTCTGGGATGCATACTGGTGCATCCCTATACATATATAGGTTCAGGGATTGGTTAGGCTTTTTTGTGGGGTGTCAAACTTAACACTTTCAGGTCCTCCCATACGGACTCATTTTACCTCCACACATGTTTTCAAGCCTGGCTTGGGTCGTGATGATCCATCTTCATTTGCATAGTGTTTGGATTTTGGCCTACTTCGACTGGCTGATGTCGGCTCCTAGCCATCTGCATGTCTGCTAGCCAGGGATCTGGTTCTTTTCCAGCTCACCAGGTTTGGATTCCTTGTGAATTGCCAGAAGCCCCAATTGGTTTGGGACTTCCACAAAGTCCAAACCTGGACTTGGCTAGCCATGTCCAGGTTTGGACTTGGTTGGGCCTCATTTGGCACTCAGTCGGCATTACTTTCCCTGCCTCTAGTGGCCTTGACCTGGTTGCAGCATCACTGACTATTGGTGTTGAGTCAGCCTTGGGTGACTCAGTAGTTGCTTGAGTAGCTGTGCTTCAACTTTGCCATCCTAGGGTATCCCCTAGGCAGAGTTTGGCTTTGGAGGCTGTTGTGGTTTCTACAGGGTAGCCCCTTTTGCCACTACGAAGAATGTTGGGTGCAGACTCTGTTGGCCCCTTGCCAGTTGCTGCATCACCAGTTTCCTCTTTGGGCTTTTAAAAATTTAGTCCCCCAAGGTGCCAACCTTTGCCCTCGCTCGACATATTCACAGATGCCTCGGCTCTTGATTGGGGCTTTGTGACCAGTGCTACCCAGGCTGGCCAGGGTTATTGGTCTCCACCCCTTCGTCAGGCCAACCGTATGTTTCGGGAGTTTCCAGCCATGTGGCATGCTCTGTAGTGTGTTCAGAATCCTCTGGGCTCTGTGATCTGGCTCCATTTACACTATTTCCCCATGGTTCATAGACTCAACCTGGGGATTCACTTCGGTCTCTGCCTCTTTGGAACTGGAGCATATCTGGAGTATACTTGGGGTAGGTTCCAGGTTTGGAACCTGGATCCACAAGCCTGGTTTGGGGCCAGGCACGATGTGTGATAACTTGGTCAAACATGCTGTTGCTTCGAGCGGCCCGCAGCCCCACATATCCACATACAATCCGGTTAGTCCGGCTGGATGCTACATGTAGCTCTTCTGCTGGGTTCCCAGGGTTTGAACCATCTACTGAGATTTTCATGCTGTGAATTCCATAGATATTTAAAACCACTCTATTTCCATCTGAGTACATATGTAATGTTTGGCAACAATGAACTACTGAATAAAATAAGCCAATGGATGTTATCTGGAGCAAATCTACTTCTTTCTCTTCTAGTCGTTCATTATTTTTGTTTGGTATTGCAGTTGCTTACCTCCTGAAGGAAAAAAAAGAGGCTGCTGTGGGTGGCACTCCCTTTCCTACTGTTTCCCTACCTTGACCACTTGTGTTGGGGTTAGGTTTGGAATCTGGCCCTTTTCTGTTTGTTGTGAAAGGGATCTAGGTACTATAATCTGGGGTCTCGGAGGTGCGAGTCTCAACTGCCTTTATAACCACCCTGTGGTAGGGTTCCCAGTGTGGGGGTCTTTTTTTTCCAAGTTGGCTTGTTTTCTTGGCTTGTTTCCATGAACCTGCAGGATACCTCCTGGCATATTTCCATTCATCTGTGGTTCAGGGATTAACAGAGGTTTCAAGTAGAACACACAGATTACCCCTTTGAAGCCCACACCTTGGAGTTTAACTTGGGGTTTATGATGTTTACCAGATTTACTTGGGTGGTCCTTGGCTTGCTCTATTTCAAGAGGATTAACATGCTGGTCTACTTCAGTGATGGGTTGCTCTGGGCTCTCGGCTTCCAGTATTGTCTGCTAGCCACCCTGATTCTTTATGAGTTGGCAGACTTCCCAGCTCTCTTGTAAAATACACTATCAGAAAATTTAAGTTGGTGCCAGCTCGGTCTGTTGGGTTATCTTGAGGTTATCTTGAGATGATTTCGGGGCTTTTTAGTGTCCCCGCGGCCCGGTCCTCAACCAGGCCTCCACCCCCAGGAAGCAGCCCGTGACAGCTGACTAACACCCAGGTACCTATTTACTGCTAGGTAACAGGGGCATAGGGTGAAAGAAACTCTGCCCATTGTTTCTCGCCGGCCCCTGGGATCGAACCCAGGACCACAGGATCACAAGTCCAGCGTGCTGTCCGCTTGGCCGACCGGCTCCCTTTTGAAGTATGGGTTGCAGTATGGACCCCAGGACTCCCTCCTCGTCCATAGTCTACCTTACTTGGCTATTCCTTTGGGAGATCAGGTATACCCTGGAGTGGGTTCTGGGAGTTTTACTCCCCAAGTCATACCTGTGGCCATTCTTGTTTTGTGGTTGATGGTTTGCTTCAACTTTGCCTGCATGATTGCAAGCACACTGCACTTTGTGCTGATCAATGCTGCATTAGTGTAGGGACTATGTATTGTGGTCCACATTTGGTCTCAAGTTTGTCCAGAGTTGCTGCTTTACTCTTCAGGTGTTTGGTACCATATTATTTTCCTTCCAATGGGTCATGTCATTAATCTGCACAATAAAATAATCAACTCGAGAGATTGTGGGAGTAATATAATCCAGATTAGAAGTAGAGATGCTATAAGTGGTATTAGAGAATGCCTTGAGATCCATGAACCTTCTAGTATCAAATACAAGCTTTTCGTCCAAAAAAAATCTGGCACTTTGGATGAAATGTATAAAATATGGACTGGTGTATAAAATGTCTACTTTGTTGATTTTGATTTTGATCAAAAATCAAAAAATCAAAATCTACTCTATTGATTTTGTAGAGGACCTGAGAAAGAATACAATAGCCGAACCTATCTTTTCATAGGCCTGGTATAGTACATATATACTAAATTATGACTTAAGATTGAGTACTTTGGCTTAGAATTGCTTATTTATACCTTGGGTAGGTTAGGCTAGATTGATATTGAAGCCATTCCAGTTTTTGATATGCCCTTTAGTGCATCATTAGTACATCTGTTTACAGTACAGAAATTATGGGTAACATGACAGTAAAAATCTACTGGAGACACTTCCTGATATTTTGAATTGGGATTTGTTGGATTTGCTTTATCTTGTATTCCTTTCAATACATTATTTCTACAGTTTATATCAGTAAAGAATGTGCAATATTTTCTTTCCAGTGTCTCTTTTGAGGTATTTTCGTACTGAAGAGAGAAAATCTCACGGGAAGGAGAATTCTAAAGAATCGCCCACAAGGGAAAGCTCTACAGATTCTGATGACAGTGGTATGTTGTATTACCGATTTTTCTCGAGTAAAAACACCAAGTTGAGAGCACACATTATTTCAATTGTGATTTACCTCAAAAGGCTCCATCAAATCTTTAAAGAGAGACATAACTATCAACTTGTAAACTTAATATTTTAACTGTCAGTACTTGGCAGTCTTTCCAACCATGTATAATACTTTTAATATGGTTTATATTTTTGACACTTTTTCCATAATACATATAGCTGCACAGCAGAATTTCAGTTAGTAGGACATCTGTTATTGCTTCCAGTCACTTTTGTTCGAACAATGGATCTTGTAAAAATAAAATTATTTCACAAATTTTTTGTTATACAAAACTTTCTGGGGTAACACCCCACTGGCTCCCTGAAGTTATCTTGCCGAGATTGCTCCATATTAAAAGGTTGTATCAGTCATGGAAGTTCTGTTTGGCCTACTGGTGACCACAGCCAGAACTTGGACCCGTAAGAGAAGCCTTTGGGATTAAGTAACAATTTGCCACCCCACCAGGAAAGCATTCAAAAGTCAGTGAAGTTTTACAGACAACTGGAAGATTAACAGAAAAAGAAACCTCAAAACTGCCAAACAACCCAGCAAATGATTCACGCAGAACAAGGGATTCACTCAAACTAGCTGAAAACTCACTAATACTAATCGCCACCACCAGGTGGCCTGTCCCCGACCCGCAATTGGCTCCCCTAACCAGCCAGTTCTACTGCTGATGCTACGTTGGACAGTTCTACCAGTAATTCTGTGGTCCCCTGGTCATGGGCAAGCCTCACCACATCATGCAAAGTGCTGGCCATCCTTGGACTATGTTTGTCTGGCAGGGAGGACATTTGCTTCTTGTAATTACCTAAGTGTAATTACCTAAGTGTAATTACCTAAGTGTAGTTACAGGATGAGAGCTACGCTCGTGGTGTCCCGTCTTCCCAGCACTTTTTTGTCATATAACAAAGTTTATATTATAATATATTTGTCAAAAAAATATTTGTCATTTGTTGTGTTGTTTTAGTGTTACCTTCATGTGCATTTCCGCTAGAAAACCTCAAACCCTGCCCTAACCCTCATCTTGCTTGGTGATTCATCTAAAATGGAAAAATGTGGTAAATGCTGTTACTGCAGAAAGAATTCTAGGAAGCAGTCTGAATGTGAACAGTCACAGTAATGAGTTTGAGCTAATTTCAATAGATTTGATTATTTGTTTACATTGTTTGAAGAGTTTGGCAGTCTGAATGTGAACAGTCACAGTAATGAGTTTGAGCTAATTTCAATAGATTTGATTATTTGTTTACATTGTTTGAAGAGTTTGGCAGTTTTGAGGCTTCAGTTCTTTTGATGCTGGTAGCAGTCTGTAATGCTTTGTTGACCTTTTGAATGCTTAACGATTGGGATGGTGGAATGTCACTCGTTCTGCACCTCTTTGAGGGAGCCAGGTTCTGGCTTTGCTTCCCTGGTAGGCTGAACCGAACTTCGGCAACTGATATGATTTAATACGGAGCAGACGCAGCAAGATAGCTTCAGGGAGCCATGGGGGATCAGCCAGAAAGAGGGGTAATTCATTGCAGTCAATGCTGCTTTTTTCAACATTCTGCTTGGAAAATTTGTCATAAATAATTGTATTAGTAAATGGTAAATTAATTTAAATTGTAATTATTATTATCATGATTTCTTCTGTTGTTTTGTTGTTAATCTTATCCCCTTTTCTTTCCTATGGTAAAAATTACACCATTTACAGCATAGTTAAGATGATTCACTACATTTGTTCTAAAGCTGAAACTTAATATGTTGGTGCAATTATTAGAATATTAGTGGTGAGTATATACTCAATTTTCTATTTCAGCTGAGGAGTCAACTAGTCCAGTTTTAAAATCTAGAATTCCAAGTAAGAAGTTCCGTGTTGGTTCTTCTAGCGATTCTCCCCTAACACCAAAAGCTCGAAAACCCTCAACAATTACACTAATAAATAAACCATCGACTATTGTTTCATTTCTTCATTCGGGTGCCTTAGCCAAGGCAAAAAGATTGGACCAATGTAAGCAGCTATCAAAGGATGCAGATTCAAGTGACGAGGAAATCTCAGCACAGCAGAGAAACGCCGATAATAATGAAGGTGTGTTTTTATCTTGTGGTTTACCTTGTGTTACAAGGATTAATGTCTCATGTGGCTTGTTCTCTGAACAGGTGTCCTGGATGTGGGGTGGGGGGGGGGGTCTTGTCAACTAAGCTGTTAGATGCAGTTGCTCACAGCCTTACATGAATCACAGCCTGGTTGATCAGGTATCCTTTGGAGGTGTTTATCCTTTCCTTTTCTGTGTTTTTCAAGTTCTCATATGAATGCTGTGAGAGGGCAGCTAGTTATGCAGCCTATGTTTAGAGAGTGTTAAAGAGTCTTGGGCATTGATGTTATTAGTGTAGCCAATGCACCTCTGATTTTCAGCGGAGCTATTTTGCACTTCCTGCGATGTCTCCTGGTCTCAAGAAGTCATTTCTGTGAGCAGATTTGAAAACAGTTGCTCTTAACATTTTCCAAGTCTAAACTGTTATGTAATGTATCTCTCATGCATGCACTCTAGAGTCTACAGATTTTTAAATTTTAAGTTGTCCCAATTATTTAGATGTTTCATTGAGTGGATTTGGAAAGTTAAAGATCTTTGCATTCTCTTGGTTAGCAATTTTTTTTGTGCAACAATACTCCACTGGCCACTGTACTGCACTGCACTAACCGTGATATCATGGATGAGCCACCCTATATATCAGTTAGTACAGCTGTTAGTTTGATAGTACAGTACAGTATATTGAAAGTTTCAAAACTCCCACGGGTACACTGGGCCCATGTCTTGTTTCTCAAGACTAGTAAACTACTGTAATTATCAAAAATTATGTTCATGCAACTGCCACCCCTCGGAGCTGCTGGGACTAGCATCTCCGAGCACCAAACTCAGCGCCCTTAAATTGCTCAAGTTCCTCTGTTCCATTATGGCTAAAGTATGTTAAATACAATGTTTTTTCTGGGGGGGGGGGGGGCCTCGTCAGCTCTCTGAAGCTAACTGAATTGATATGTGCTTTATTAGTTTGAGGTCATCAGTCACTTGGAGTTCTAAGCATACCAGGGACCACAAGCCAGAACCTGGTCCCCCTCAGAGATGCACAGGGAGCAATGGTGTATGAGCACTTAAGATGTAAAGTATGACATATTTCGCCATCGACCGGGGCAGTAACCCAGAAAGATAGACGAACCAAAATAAACAACTAGTCGGTAAAATTACAACCTACAGGCCGAAAGAGCAAAGAACTCCCAAATGAAAAGAAATTAGGAAACTAACAACTTTGCACACAAACCAGTACTCCCGCTCGTTAATGGACTCCCCCCCACCCCACCTTCCGACAAGGGGAAGGGGGAACAGGCTCAGGTGACCCCACGGTCCACTCCTCAGTTCTCATATGATGTGCTTGGCGGTTGGACGTCACCTCTGGCCTCGCTCTCCTGTCTGGATTTTGCCCTGTGTGGTTGTGCCAGCTGTGTGTTTGGTGTGGTGGCCAGGTATTCTGAGTACTTGGAGCTGCATGCACCCTGGGTAACCTTCCCAGGGTGCTCCGTAAGTACTACCATTGCGGGTCAGAGTTGATTTTCCTAGGCGTTTGAAACTCGCTTCCCATTTGAGGGCTTCATTGCTTGAAGTAGTCTCCCTTTGGGTACGTTGGGGGTCTTGGAGTTTCTGTCTTGCCCTGTGTAGGGGAGCGTTATGGGCTGGAGTGGTGCTGTGGCTTGGGCAGTCTGTTTACACTTGTGCGACGGCTGATGTTTCTTTCCAACTGCCAAGAAAATGCTTGGGGTGTTGTTTCAGGGCTTGTCTCTTTCTTCATATTATTCTTCATCGCCCTGTTTTGATGGATGAGGTCAGCTTAGTGGCTTGTTAGGCCTGCCTAGGTTGTGTTGGCTCTCCTCCTCCATTGTCCCCAAGCTTTCACCACTGCTACTGGTAGTCAGTTTACCTGCTTTCAAGCAAGGGGTCTTCCGGCTTAGCGGGCCACAGTGCCTGGGCTTCCAGGCACTTTGGAAGTGCCTGGAAGTGTCCATTTCAATTCCTCTTTTCATGTTATCCACTTCAGTCCGGTATTGTTTTCTCAGGCCATTGTTTCTGGGGTTTCTTGCCTTTGGTTGTTGCATGGGGAAGTTTCATATTCTCCTTTGGTGCCAGTGGTTTTGTTCTTTTGGCCGGGGGGGGGGGGTTATGCTCGTTTGCAGCTGGCTCTTTCTTTTCTAGCGAGGAATGAGTCGGTTGGCTTCCAGAAGGGTCTGTTTGTTGTTTATGTTTGGTTGGTTCAGCCAAGCGTGCATCATGTACTGTGTCTGGTGGCAGCTCTTCGTTACTATCTTTGTACAACTGGTTTCGTTTCCATGGACTCGTTGTAGGTTGATTCAGTTTCCCTAGTTCCCTGTTCTAGGGCTTATATTTCTCAGGTAATTCTTAATGTTATCAAGTCTAGCCAGCCTGCAGTCTTCCTTCGTGGAACAGCTCTCTCGGCTGTTTTTGCTATGTCGTGGGCTGATATTCAGATGTGGGTGGTTTGGAGGTCAAATAGGGTTCTGGCAGCCAGTTAACTCATTAACACTTTCGCGCTCTCGGCGCTCAAAAAAAAACAATACCCCAGATGCTTTCGGCACTTCGCGTGCCTACGCGGTAAGACCGAAAAAGTGTACACTCTTTTGACTGTCCTGACAATAATTGAAGGCGCACGTATTTAAATTTGGTATCACTGTGTTCGCAATGAAATTGTCTATAAGAGCATACATATAAAATGTCGCCCAAGCATAAGGAGTATCAACACCAAATAAAAAACTATGCAGATCACTCGCCGAGAGCGCCAAACAGCAACAAAATGTTTCCACTCTCTTAATGGTTGCGAAGCCTACAGTTGTCCTACATCGCTAATTTTGGTATCATTAAAATCGCAATAAAATTCTCTACACGGACATATGCATATGAATGTTTAATATAGGTAATTGCCCACCCGCAAGAGTGTGTGAAGTGGAGAGTAGTTAGCCGCGAGCGCACTGGCGAAAACACAGGGGGGAAATCATGCTTGGAAAGTTTATACGTTTCCTGACCCTACTTTTCTATGTACGTATTTCTTTTTTATACCAATGTGTTCGCAATAAAATTTTCTATAAGATGAACTGTATAACATTTGTACAAAGCATGTGTAAGAGAAGCGCCAAATATAGAACCACGTCGATCAGTATGCGTTCGCGGCAGAAACGAACGCATTGTTTTCGTTCGTTTGATGTTTGTCATATTTATACTTGTTGAAACATTTTATAATTTGTATGACAGTGATCGCAGTAAAATTCCCTACACAGACATATACATAACACATACAAATATTTCCCACGTGTTGGATATATCAACGGCTAAAGGGAACCCACTGCCACACGCTCGCCACACCCCCAAACATACTTTGTGTATTTTTTTTTTTACTCATAGAAGTTTATGTGATATAATATTCATTCTGGTACCAAAAAATTTGCAAATAAATTCTCTACAAAACAAAAGTATCCCCATCCATTTCGGTTAAAAAATGGAATTTATAGAAATATTTTTTCGATGGACTACAAAAGTAGGCTGTTATGCGGAATCGTAAGAAAAAACGGCGACGAGTTATCTCTAATCTAAAGCGCGAAAGTGTTAATGTTCCCAGTCCTCGGTGGTCTTGTGCGGCCTTGGGTCATGTGTTGTGGCCAATGGTTTATTCTTCTTCTCCTTGATGCCTGTGATGCTCCCTCCTCCTTGGTAGGTGTCCAGTTTTCTTCCTTCTCAAGGAGTAGATAGCTTTAGGAAGCCATAAAGGGCTCCCCAAGAAAACCAGCATTGAATATAATGAAATGCTTATTTCTGGGTGAGCTCAGGTGGCCTGACACCCGCACTTTCCCAGGGCGTTGGGAGTATTTCCATCATCATAGAATTAGAGGTGGAATAGTTGACTGCTTGATACCTGCTTGATGGGGTTCTGGGAGTTCTTCTACTCCCCAAGCCCGGCCCAAGGCCAGGCTCGACTTGTGAGAGTTTGGTCCACCAGGCTGTTGCTTGGAGTGGCCCGCAGGGCCACATACCCACCACAGCCCGGCTGATCCGGAACTTCTCTTAGAAAACAGTCCAGTTTTCTCTTGAAGATGTCCACGGTTGTTCCGGCAATATTTCTTATAGTCGCTGGGAGGACGTTGAACAACCGAGGACCTCTGATGTTTATACAGTGCTCTCTGATTGTGCCTATGGCACCTCTGCTCTTCACTGGTTCACTGACCCGGGCTGCCTCACTCCTATCCCCAAGTGGGAAGTGGGGGTGAGCGAGCTAGTGCTAGTTTGGTGTAATTTTGATCATTTGTTTACATTGTTGGGGGAGTTCTTTTCGTGGTTTTTGAAGCTGTAGTCTTGCTTCTGACCATGCAGTTGTTTTGTTTTGCTATTTTTTGGGTGCCTTCCCTGGTGATAGCATACATGACTAAACTCGTAGAAATTTAATCGTAATGGCTGTTGCTCCATGCACCTCGCTGAGGGAAACCACAGGCTCTGGCTTGTGGTCCATGGTAGGCGAAAATAGAACTCCATGACTGATGGTACCTAAGTAGCTTACACTACATCAGATATAGTAGCTTCAGGGAGCTACCGGGACACCCCCAGAAATGGGCGTTTCATTACATTCAATGCTGGATTTTTCAAGGCTCTGCCTCTTTCAGCAAATTGGCCTGGTGACTTACATTGCTGATTTGGCTTTCTCCTCTGCTCTGCATCTGGGGTTTCTGATGCAAGTCTGTCACCATTTGCATGGTGAGCAGGTAGTTGGAATACTGGTGTCCAACCTGAGTCTGTCTTCATTGTGACAGTATGAAGAACTTTGCCTGGTACTTATTTTGCCTCTTTCTTCCCCTTTTCATCCTTCTTCAGTGTTGGGTCTACTGGTTTTCTTGTCTTTGTCTTAGTTTTTTTGGATCAGCATCTTGGGCCTAATATTGTCACCTCTTATTGTTCGGAGTTGGCAGAGCCGCTTTTACTTGTAGTTGGCGTTGATACTGCTTCAGCATCGCTTCACATGTTGTCTAGGGCATTTTTT